ACTGTTGCCGATGAGTGGCATTACGGAGCAGACAAAAGGTCACAATACAATTTCAACATAAATTCATTGTTCACTCGATATTACAGAAATATTGGCCTCTTCGAAACACAAAGTTTATTATTATTTGACATTCATCGTTTTTCAACAATTCATTATTTGCCTGGCTCTCTTCATCCCGTCTTAATATGCATCCTGCCTTAGGAGTCGAGAAAAACGAGACTAGTCTGCAATTATGTATGATTGTGCAAGTTTGTTTGATAAATTGCAGTTTATCGTGATTCATGAAGAGGAGGAGTTAGCGGAGAAGGAGAAGCAAGGGAAGAGGGAAAAGGATGAGTTGAACGAGATGACGGAGGAGGTGAAGAAGAAGAAGAAGATGATGGAGAAGTAGAAGAATGAGGAAAAGAAGGAAAAGGAGGAGAAAGAGGAGAGGCAAGAGAAGAAGAAGAAGGATGGGGAGGAGAATGTGGCGGAGCTGTGCTGCCACTCTCCACTTTATTTTTCGTATTTAAGTAGTGTTATGAGACTTCCATAAATCAGTAATATGATATGTATTCACATTATTTCGTTTAAAGTAGTAAAGGCTATGCAAAATTCAATGAAATCGTCAGCTCTACTCGTATAATTGTCGGAAAATAATATTGCCAGTCATTCATCCCCTTTAACGAAATATGGTAAATACATATCATACTACTGATTTACTGGAAGTCGCGAAACTCTACTTAAATACGTAAAATAAGTAGCATAGTCGATTTTTATAAAAAATTAACGTTTGCTTCATTGACAATCCCACCAAAGAATATGATATGGCAAAAGGCCTGGTCTTCCTTGAAATTCGCATTTGCCCCGTGACCCGAGGGCACTCGTGGCAATGTGGCTAAGGTCGAAATTGCAGCCAACTTAAGCCGGGCTGACAACAACTTTTGGGAAAGCAAGTCAATGTGAAATTCAATGTCCTGCTCATATCAATGTGGGAAAATTCTTCTTCTACCAGTCCTTCGTCACCTTAGACAAAATAGGGTGAATACATCCCATATTACTCTTTAGCTTTAGTTGTTCGAGTTCATTTCTGACCGTCTGCAAAGACACTTTTGTGCCCGATTCGATACTGGGCCGTTCAGCTTGAAGTTTTCACATAAACACACTATTTTCTCCGCTTCATCGGCCTCCATGCGGCCGCACACGAGCCCTCTGCTCCGAGCCTTGATCTCCTCTTAGTCGACCGGTTCGTGCCTGCCTGCAGAGCAGCTCATCCTTTCTGTTGAATGCAGACTGCGGCATCAGCTCCCCATTCAAGGGTCATTCATGAGGCAGCGAAACCAAGAATGTTGAAAGTAGATAAATAGTCCTCCTGTCGCTAGCTCGTCTGCTCCAAGAGCACAACCTACCGGAGTCGTAATTGTTTTCCCAACTTTGCCGTTTCATGCAAGTTGGTTCGGCATTTTTTGCGGCTATTCTCTTCCCTTGCATAAAATGAGACAGTTTTCCACGGGAAAAGTCCTAATCCTGATTAGATTAGGTATTCACACTTTGGAGACCTCTCGAGCAGCATGGCCTAGAGCCATATCAGCCTCGACTGTATTGCCATGGTATATGATGAATTTACGTCAATATTTAGTAATATAATAAATATTAAATAATTTTGGAGGGTGAAAATAGCCATACTCTGCTATAAGCTCATAAAACAAATGCAGATAGACGAGCATAACGGGCATTTTTTCCAAAGTGGCCTCGCATTTCATGGGGTCCAGTCGAAGATCAGGCTACTATAGTTTATGAATATATGCGTCAAATATTTTATCATAAAGTGTAGTCGGCTAAACAATGAGAAGAGGATTCGGGAGCCCCACGTAAAAAGGAATGTATTGATAAAAGCTAAATCACTCTCAGGCAATTAAGTTTCATAGTTGGGTTTTTTGCAACAACTAAAATCCCCTTTGATAGATTCAATAGTCAGCCTTTCCACAGTGAAACGAGCAAAGAGGCTGCATGATTCCGCTGAATTGCACTCAGCTTTGACTCCAAGGCAACTGATTCGCCTGCGGACCCACCTCGCCAAGGTCTCAGTAATAGTTATAACATAATTGGTGACACTGATTGACATTCAGCCATACAGTTCGACTTCCAGCAGGTCAGATGCAGGTTTCAATTTTTAGAGCAAGCTAAGTCTTTCGCAATTTGCATGCACAGTGGAATTTCTGGTTGGAGGTCTACTTATTTAGTCTATAGTAGTATCATCCATAGTAATGCCCAAAACAACTTTTCCCTGTCTATTACAGTCCCTCGAGACATTGAAGGTAGGTTAAGGAGAATATTGGGCCTCACTATGCCAAGTAAGTGCTTTTGAAGGAGAGAACATTGCTTCCAACAAAGTCTTCCCATCAAAGACAGCATGAGGCCTAGTCGTGTTGTGCTAAAAACCGCACCAACTGTCCTTGAATTCACAACAGGCCCACCAGAACATGTGAATCGGGAGGGACCCAACTCGCCGTGTTGCTTTCATATTCCTTTCGACCCAAAGGTCCCAGGACTACTTGCCCAGGATGTCATGTGTTGCCGCTTGAAATGAATCATCTTCTTTCGAATTAGAGATGAAGTGCAGCTTAGTTCAACTTAAGCAATGATTTGAACTCATTTTCGCAGGCTGGTGACTTAGCTGAACGCACCTTGATCGAGGTCTTCTGCTACAGAATTTATCATAATTCCCAGAATGTTACCTTGGACGTTTCGCCGTTTTTGTAATCCTGATCGTCAGTGAGTCTTGCCACCTTGAAAACAAAGCTACAACTCAGCAAAAAGACAAGTGAAGTCAATCCCTTGACCGACTTTGTCCCGAAAGGTTATGCTATCACTACTCTTTCTTTCTTGGCATATCTACTTACACTCTATCTTTGCATCGCCCTCCAGCCATATCACGACTTCTGGCTTGTAAAAAGGACTGCGACCAAAATATAGGCCACAACTGCTGTTATTTATTTCAGTGTAGGAAATGCAATTATCTGTCGTAATTTTTATTTAAGCAAGCTATGATTATTTAGTTCCTTATTGTGGCAAAAACGAGATGAGGCAAATATAACTCGAAGACCCCATTTGAGGTTGGCTGACTTGCTCTTAATATTACATTCATTCGAAGCCAGCCAAGTGCGAGTCTGGTAGACCTTTTGAGTGATAAACGAAGCTGCTAGTTAAGTTGTGTAATCATGCACCGATAGTTGAATCTACTGAAAAAGTGTGAAGAAAAGACGGCACACGCTTGCCTCTTTGATTTGGGCCAACCAGAAGTGTGAGGTGAGAAAGAGAATCTCTTAGCTTTACTTAAAAGCCACGCCTCCCTCATATATATATATAAATATAAATACAAATAAATAAATATATATATATAAATAAAATTAAAATTAATACAAAACAAGTATGATAAATAATAATTATATATATATATATATATATAATTA